AAGATTGCCATGTGGGCATCTGCCAAGTCTAGCGAGAGCACTTGTGCGGAGCATGTCCGGCTGTGGCAGATTGGTCACACTCGTGACCAATTCGGGCCTACCCTTGCGTTTGCTCGGATCTCCGACCTGACGAGCACCTTGGACTTTCCGTTGAAGACCGTCCGTTTCTGGATGCAGGTCGTCTCTGATGGTATGTTCCTTTTCCTCCACGTATTATACAAGATACTAATGCACAGCAGAGAACGCCAAGTTTTTCGCCATAGCGGATCCACCACAGGCGATTTCGATTCAGGCCAAGCCTGAGGAAGCTGTGGTTGAACGCGCCGGTTCAGAATCCTCGGAAGATAGATTGCCTCTTCCCGAAGGTGAAGCTGCCCGCGCGAGCTCATCGGGAACTGTACCGGAGAACAGCATCAGTGCAACTGGGGGTGCGACAATCACCAACGCTGTGAATGTTTCACACATCGAAATTGTCCCTCAGGATCCTGTGCCTACGGACTCGAGCGGCACGGGTGCGCCTACTACTGGAGACTCCGAGAACGATGCAGTGATTGCTGCCATTATCGCGGAAGATCTCCAGCAGATGGATACCGACCGAGTCCCTGATGCAGCTCCCCCGGTCACTCAGGAGCCCAGTCAAGCGGTACCAGCTGAGCCTGAGACTCAGGCTAGCACAGCTGCGGACATTCCTGCTCCGTCAATCGAGCCGGAGGTCCCCCAGCCAGTAGACCACGTGTACTACTTCATCCAAAGGTTCGATGTGGAAGCGCAGGCCTTGCGCACAGTGGGATCCTTCTTCTCGAAGAAGGAAGAGAACATCAAGAATGCCGTCCGGAGACATCTCAAGATGCCGCCAATGAAGGATTTCCAGATCTGGCAACGTGTGGATGGAACCACCGTGACTACCATGGCTTCGGGCGAGACATTCGAGGTTTATGTTCCCGATGGTACCTGCTTTATTGTGGGTGACAAGTTGAACAAGGACAGGTAAGCGCAACCTATTATCATGTCATTACACCCAGACTAACCCCTACCCCTATAGACGATTGCAGCTCAACGTGGCCGGTCTCTTCGGCAATCCCGATCAGCTAGTCCGCTATCTGTGGGCTGATTCTCGCAACCACCCCACGCGTGCCTTCACTGGCTTCAAGACCATTGATGCATCGTTCACGAACGACTACTACAGTGGGGAGTTCAACAAGGGTCACTTCCACGGCAAGGGCAAGCACATCTCTGACCTTGCCGCAACCTACGTCGGAGATTTCGTGCTAGGCAAGCGCCACGGAACCGGCTTTATGGAGTATCCCACCGGTGACACGTACGACGGTGACTGGTTCGACGGCATCTGTCACGGACAGGGCACGTACGTCGAGCGCAAGACAGGCAACAAGTATGTCGGCGGTTACAAGGACGGCAAACGTCACGGCAAGGGCATCAGCTACTGGGAGGTAGCCGATGAAGAAATGGATCTGTGTCAGATCTGTTACGGAGAAGAACAAGACGCCTTGTTTTATGACTGTGGGCATGTTTGTGCTTGCGTGACCTGCGCTCGCCAGGTCGATCTCTGTCCCATTTGCCGGAAGAACATCATCAGTGTGGTTAAGATCTACCGCACATAGTGAGCCCGTCTGCCTGCCCTCATCCCAACTTTGTTGCAGGGCAAATGGGGAAATAGAGATATGCGTCCCCGCTGCATTTGGTTACAGTTAATATTGCATTGAAGAATTCATCATACCCAGGATGTTGCAAAGACCGGAGTGATTGGTTTGGTTGATATTAGACATGATGTTGTCAGCAGATTTGGAGTTTAGACTTGATTATACTATTCGTTTCAGTTTCATGAAGTCAAGCAATCAAGAACTTGCAGTTACATGTTACATTCCCACAGTAAATAAATACTATTGTAGACACTGTAGCATTTTCACAGCAATAGCTCAACTACTAGGGCATCGTTCAAGCAACTATAAATAAACTCACTCATCGTGCCAGTTATACATAATCACCCATTTACAATACCTAACTATACAGCCCTTAGCAAACAACTACGAATGATAAACAAAATAAAAGAAGAAAATAATGGTATCTATTGACTCGACTCGACTCAACTCACTCACCCAGCCCAAGTAGAAGAACGAAGCTATCTATTTATCTACCACCACCATCATCATCATACCAGAAATAAAAAAAAAGAATATAAAATATGAAGAAACATATGCATGCGCCGCCCGTACAGACCAACAAGACAAGACAAGACAATAACTAGACAAATAAATGCTTTTTATGTCGAACCATGAATATCAACAACAACAACAACAACAGTCACCTCATGAGTTAGATTACAAGAAGGGGAAGTAAGAGTCAATCAAGATAGCAGAAATTGGGTTAATCATTTCTTGCTTGTCTTCTTAGCGGTCTTCTTCGTCTTCTTCTCTGTGGGTTCTTGCGCAGTAGTGGTAGTGGTGGGTTTTTGTTGCTGCTTCTTTGTTGTGACGGGTTCTGTGTCTGTCTTGGTCTTGGTGGCGGGCTTGGGGGACTCAGTCTTGGACTTGGGCTTGGGCTTCTCTTCCTTTGATTCCTTCTTAGGGGTCTCCTTCTCCTTCTTTTCCTCGGTCTTCTTCTCGGCAGCGGGAGAGTCGGAGGACTCGTCCCTGGACTTGGACTTGGCGGGCTTGTTAAGAACAGCCTTAGGGTTCAGACCCTTACGGCGGAGACGGTTGCGCTCGGCGCGGGCGATACGGGCAGCGTCTTCCTCGTCTTCTTCGAAGGGACCGAAGCTGCCGCCTTCGGTTTCGATGACCATGCCGTCTTCGTCGGTGATGGGGGTCTTGTCGATGGGTTCGTCGTCATCGGTGGTGGTGGAGGCGACGGAGGGGGTCTTGGACTTCTTGGCGGAGGAGCCTTCGGTAGAAGTAGCGGCAGCGGCATCGCCAGGCTTGGGGGTAGGGGAGGCGGCGGTCTTCTTGAGCTTGCAGACGAAGAAACCGTCGACGTTCTCGCGGTGCGGGAAGTAGCGTCTCGTGAGAGTCATCTTGGGGTCGAAGTGCTTGCCCATGTAGCTGGTCATACCGGGGCTGCCGAAGTCGCCGAGGCCGGTGTCGACGAGCTTGACGTTGGGGCGCTTCCGCAGGACGTACTGCACGACGGCTTCGTTCTCTTCAACGGTGACACTGCAGGTGGAGTAGACGATGTAGCCGCCGGTCTTGGAGGAGTGGTCGACGGAGTCGATGGCGGCCAGGAGAAGCTGGCGCTGCATGTGGGGGATGGCGAGGAAGTCGCGCTCGTTCTTGGAGGTCTTGACGCCGGGATCCTTGGAAATGACACCGGTACCGGTGCAGGGGGCATCGAGAAGGACACGGTCAAACCCGCCCATGGCCTTGGGGAAGGCGGTGCGGGCGTCCATGTTGGTCACGATGGTGTTCTTGCAGCCCAGACGGTGGATGTTACCGATCAGACCCTTGGCACGGGGCTTGCTGGCATCGTTGGCGATGACGCAGCCGGTGTTGCGCATCAGGGCGGAGATGTAGGTGGTCTTACCACCGGGGGCGGAGGCCATATCGAGAACACGCTCGTTGGGTTGCGGGGCGAGGGCCATGACGGGGAGGAAGGAAGAGGCAGCTTGGATGATGTAGTGACCGGCCAGGTATTCGGGGGTGGCACCGAGGGGAACGGCGGATTCGAAGACCTGGAGACCGACCTTGGACCACTTGCCAACGGGCTCGAGCACGACACCACGGTTGATGAGCGCCTGGGCGAGGGAACGACGGTTGGTGCGGAGGGTGTTTGTACGGATGACGACGGGACGGGGGGTTTCGTTGGCTTCGAAGAAGGCGAAGGCTTCCATGGGGGTGAAGAGGTTGAAGAGCTTCTCGGCGAGGTAGGGGGTGTAGCCGTAGTAGGTGCAGATGTCGGCGATGAGCAGCTGGGTGTAATCGGTACGAGACTTGCCGGGGGCACCGAGGGTCTTGAGATCACCCAGGATACGGATGGTGTCGGTAATTCTGGTACGGAGCAGCTGGAGATCGGGAGCCAGGCCGGGCTGAGTGCCCTCGGCGTCGCCAAAGACATCGGGACGGTCACCGGCGATGTTGGTCTGCATGGCGGATTCCTTCATTTCGCGCTCGGCCTCTTCCTCCTCTTCCTGTCTCTGCAGGTCCAGCTTGCGCGACAAACCCTCGATGTTGGCGGCGGTCAGCTTCTCTTCAGCGTCGGAGAGGTCTTCGTCGTCGGAGAACATGGTTTCGCGAGGGTGGTCATCATCGTCGGAATCGACGAACGAGTCGTTGTCTTCCTCCTGGCTATCCATCGAGCCATCGCTGATACCGTCCAGATCGTCGAACTCATCGGCATCCATTTCCTCAATACCAGACATTTCCTCATCGTCGTCCTCATCGTCGGAGTCCATGAACTGCGGCTTCTTCTCGACGGCCTTGGCCTTGGGCTTGGATTCAGCCTTGGGCTTAGCCTCAGCCTTGGTCGCCTTGCCATTAACAGCGCCATTGGCCTTCTTCTTGATGGCGGGCTTCGCGACCTTCTCATCGGCATCAGATCTTCTCCGCTTCTTTCCCGTCTCGGGCTTCGACTCGGGCTCACCAGCCTTGCGCTTCTTGTAGATGGTGATCTTAGACTCATCCAGCGGGGCCGGAGGGCCCTGCTTCTTCATACGACGACCGACACCCATAATGAAAATGTAAATGGGAAAAGGGTGGTGAAAGTTGGATAACTGGAGTCTGAAGCGGAGAATCCAAACTTTTTTCTTTCGTTACTTTTTTTTCTGCGGGCGGTTGGCCGCGGCAGAAAGAGTCCCGCAAGGCGGTAAGTATTGTAGCCTGAGGCATGTAATGCAGTCAGAGGGATGGGCTTCAGCTACCGCCCAATTGGGTAATGGCAGTACCACATGCCGCATCCATATTGACTGTCTCTATCTCACCTACTCCACCTATACACTTTCTCGCTCTACATACAACCCACCTCATCCACGAACAGCAAAGAAATCCGCCAAAATGTCCGAAGTCGCCTTCATCAAGTCCTTCCTCTCATCGCTCGACTCCCGTCCCATCAAGCTCCGAGCAGACTATGTCCTGGACGAAGAGCGAGTCGGACCTCGCGTCCCTGTACGTCCATCCCATCCTGCCCCCCTCCCTCCCCTCTTCCCTATACCCTCCCACTTGGACCCCCATAACCCAATAAATCTAACAATCAAAACAAACAGTACCTCCTCCCCCGCCTCAGCGCCCCGCACCCCGAAATGCCCAAGAAAGTGCAACGGACGCAAGCCCCGGGTTCCTCGAAATCCATAACCGTACACGTAAAGAGCGCACGCAACCCCGCATTCGAATTCACCTTGCCCAACGCACCCATCACCACGACCTCAGTGCAGGATCTCAAAGACGCAGTTCAGGAACGGGTGGTTGACGCACAGGACGGAAAGGTGTCATTGGAGAAGATCAAGATTTTGTATAAGCGGAAGCCAGTGACGGGGAAGACGATTGCGGAGTTGTTGGCTGATGAGCCGGAGATGTTGGCGGGAGGCAAGGAGGTGGAGTTTGGGGTGATGATTATGGGAGGGGCGAAGGTTGTGGAGGGTGGTGAGGGGGGTGGGAATGCTGCTGCCGCTGCTGCTGCTGGTGGTGCGCCTAAGGCGGCGGTTGGGCCGAGTGGGGAGGAGGTGTTGAGGACGGAGGCGTTTTGGGATGATTTGCAGGGATTCTTGGAGCAGAGGTTGAAGGATAGTGAGGAGGCGAGGAGGTTGAGGGGGGTGTTTAAGGGGGCTTGGGAGAAGCAATGAGTTGTTATTTAATATTACTATTTAGGTTTATGTGTTGGGAGCGTGGGGTGCTTAATGGTGGGTAGATGTGTATGTATGTAATATGATACCTTGTCATGGAATTATTTGACATTGATTTGGATGTGTGGCGTGAGTTCTTATGTGTGAGATTGCATTGGGGTGGAATATGTGGATTGGAATATTGTACAGTTTAAGGGTAGACCAATGCTCAGCGACTTTGAATACATCTATACTTCAAGCTTAGGTACCCTAGTTCGCAAACGGGTTCGAGAATAATTGGGGCAGAAATCAGGCAATGTACAGGCTGGTGCGAAAGGCTCTAAAGGACAGGGCAAGGAGATCATCATACAGCGTTCATCCACAGCACCCCCCATGTACTGGGGACCAGGGATATCAAGACATTCAAAAAAGGCGACCACACGGTCCGCAAATCCTATTCATATGGAAACACACCAAGAAATTCGCTGGTATCGAAAATGTCGTGTTATAAAGACACCTTGCAGACGTGTGGCAGACAGCGGTTGAACGTCACGGAGTATAAAAGCACACATTATATCCCCCCTTCGAGTCCGCGTGGGGTATGTGAGTCAAGGACAGGGCTAAGGAAATAAAAAGAGGTATGAAAAACATAAGCTCGTACCATCAGGCAGGGCTGGACGAGCAAAGCAGCTGATTGTCAATAAAAGGGTAGAAGAGTAAAGAAACTATAACCACAGGAGTAGAAAGGAACATATGCCAGGTAGATTGACACCGTTGCAAATGCTCGAGAATCGGCCAAGCGCTCATCCATCTCATGCGTGCGAAGAACATGCCGTAGGAAAAGGAAGAATCAGCTGTCGAAAGAAAGAAACATACATCAGCAAAGGGGTCTCGCTATCTCGAGAACACCTTGACAACCCCGTCACCACCTCCACTGACGACCCAGCGGCCATCGCGGCTCCAGACGGCGGCACACACTCCTTCACCACGCATCAACCGGTGACTCGTGATTTCTTGAGTGCAACTCCGCTTCTCGAGGTTCCAGAACCGCAAGCTGGCGTCATGACCCGCAGAGACTAGCTCACGTCCATCTGGGGATAGCGAAAGCGAGGCAATCGCCGATGGATGGGCCAACATCGTGTATGTGCATTGGCCTAAGCATAAATTATTAGTATACCAAATATCTAAGGGAAGCTTGGTGAAACTTACCGCTGTTAGCATCGAAGAAGCGAATGTAGCGGTCTTCGTATCCACTAATGATTACGCCTTCGACACCACTGGAGCCAGTCGCACCATGGACGACTTCTTCTTCGCCCATTGTCCGACTGGGGTCAAGTCCTGCCGATCCATCAAATCCGACTGTAGTGGCGACAACAGAGTTAACGCCAGTCGAAGGCGTGCCATCGTATGTCTCCAGACTCGCCATGCCCACAATTTCCTCGCCAGTCCTTGTATCATACACAAGGATGGAGGCGTCGGTGTAGGACACAACAAAGTTGATACCTGCAAGCGACAACGGGCTAATGCACGTTGGGGAGGGAGACTCGGTCCGAACAATCTGACGAACCATACTGTAGTGGAATGGTGTGGTAGTCGCCGTGCTGGGCTGCGGTGACGAGGGGAAGTTGGAGCCGGAAGAGATCGAGTTGGCTCTCCTGCTACCACCAGCGCGTCGAGACCCTGCTTGAGGGGAAGAAAGCTGCGGGGGCGCACTAACAGCCCATATGATGATACGGCCGTCCGCACCACCGGATGCGAGTAGGATACGATCAGGGCCACCGTAATGGCTGCTGGATTCGCCTAGCACAGAGCCTGCGGTTCCAGGTAGAACACAGAGACCCCAGACGGCGTCCGTGTGGCCATCAAGAGTCGCCTTCGGGTCAACACGTCCACGTTCCCACACTCGGACGCTGGTATCTTGTCCACCTGAGAAAACCCAGCCGTCCCCGAGCGCACGGCCTCCATTGGAGAAGTTCTGCGGAGAGCATGCCGCCAGCGCAGTCACAGCCCCCACATGTCCGCGGTGAGTGAAATAGCTGGTAATGTCCAGGTCACTCGAGCTTGCGCCAAAGGTGCCATAAGTGGCGGGTATAATCCATCGTTTGATCGTTCCATCATCACTGCATGTACAAATTTCCGGCTCCGAAGGGCTTCCGCCGCCCGTGAAAATCACCGAACGGACGACATCCAAATGGCCGCGGAGGGCGAACCGAACCTTGAAGGTCGGATCTGGCTTGGGGCCCGCTGCAAGATCAACGGCACCATCACTCTTCCTTCTGGCACCGGAACTTTTCCGCCGATGCGAGAGAGATCCGGACCGCTGCGGAGACTTGGAACTGACAAAGTTTGCATTCGGGAAAGCATCCACATCAGGCCGGTGCGGTGGTACCTGTTCCGCCTGCGGTGCTGGTTCGGCCGGCTCGTCAAAGTTCCAGCCATCTGCATCATCACCTTGCTCTTCCATTCGCTGTTGCTTGGCATCCTTAGCCGCCGATTGTGAGCCATATCCATCATATGCCTGGTCCCCCTGACCGGCGCGCTCATCCATCAGCGAGTTGCCGAGAGCCTGCTTTCTATTATCGATCGCGGTAAGCGGGGTTTGTTGTGGCTCAAGGGGTCGTCTCTCCATCGCTTCCCTGGTCGCAGGTGGGAAACCAAATTGATTTTGTGCGCGAGACATGGCCGCGTTATCTGCGTAGTGTGTGATGACGGGTTGGTGGTTCTGAAGCGCCACCTCTCGCGCCATCATATCGTTCGCCTGTGCTTGCTGCTGCTGGTGCTGTTTCTGGCGTTGCTGCTGGAGGTATGCCTCCTCCAGGCTCTGCTGAGACAGCTGTTGGTTGCCGTAGATGTGATTTGGGAGATCCTGCTCGCCGAGTTCCGGAGGAGGGTGTGACGAAGGAATGACATGATAGGCAACTTCCTGAGAGCACTTCGAAAGGTACAATCGCGACTTCTCTCGCTCGTTCTCTTGGCGATACTCGTGTTCGTTCTCAAGGTTCACATCGATTTCGCTGGGTCCCGTATGAGGCTTGGGGCGTTGAGCTAGACAGCAATCAGTACACCGATACGACATCACCACTCCGTAAACCAACAATAAACTCACCTTTCAGAGAGTTGATGCTTTCCTTGGCAATCTCTTTCGGGTCCCTAGTGTCCTCAACCTTCTCATTGTTACTGAGCTTCTTGACCTTCTCGCGCTCCTTCTTCAAGGCGGCCTCGAGCAACCTGACGTGCTTCCCCAATGATTCATGTAACCGTTTACTCGTACGAACATCACCCTCCAGCTTTCCGATGCGAGACTTCATCTCCGCGCGTTCGATCTCCCAGGCATTGCGGTCACGCTCGTGCCGGTGCCACTCCGTCTGCAGAAAGCGCATCACACCTAGAAACGAACCGAAAAAGCAATTAGCCTCTCCTCACGACCGTCGAGATCTATCACTCGGTACCCACCTTGCAGGGTGTACTCCGTCCCCTGGGGATGCCCGCCGTTAGAAGACCCATCACCCCCGGGGCCGACGTACCCTCCGCCCCCAGCCATGGCCGAGGGAGACTGCCAAGCCATGCAAAATCGACAATGGGAGAGGATGAAAGGAGTGGAATTCGTAGCGACCGAGCAGCGTAGCTCACGAAGTCGCCAGAGGGAGGATCAGGAAGGCGCTGTTCCCAATGGAAAAGGGCGAGGTGTGGTGATCTTCTGAATCGCAGCCGAGTGTTTGTTCTCCGTGTAAGCCCACAGGTGGAGGGAACGGGGCGACAACGGCAGGAAGCGAAGTTCCAGGCCGTGTCAACGCCGAGGGGGAGGAAAAACAAACAATGGGAATAAATTTCAAGAGGGCAGTAAAGGACCCGATTTATTTTTGGGGCCTCGGAAATGGAGCGTGCAGGGGGAAAGGAGACGGTCAGCGATGCAAGCTTGAGCCCCCGAGACGATCGGAGTGACTGGGTGCGCGTTCTCTCCTCGCAGTTGAGGTCGGGGAAAGCCACCGCCGCCGCTGAGCTTTCGTTGGCTCTGTAGGCGCCCACGCGGCCGTAACCGCTTTTAGCGCTGGGCGAGCTGGCCTTCCCTTCCCAACCCCCAATTTTACTCTCTTCTTCACTTAGTATTAAGATGCGGTCAGGGTCAGTGCATGACACTTTTACATTCACTTCATTTCATTTGGGAGATGAAGGGCATGCATGGATTTTCTCTCACCCTTGTATCATACAGATTGCAAATCTGAGGTTGAGAGGGAAAAGTAATTAATCAGGTCCCGGTTGTTGCAGGTACCTGACAACAACCTCCACTTCAGCTACTTACTTCTTAGAAGTAGTAGCGCTGGACAGCTAGATAGTAGATAATAGATAGATCCAACAGTACTACTCCGTCCAGTTCAATACCTCAGGCACTTAATCCCGTCTAACCCACCAATCAGGATGGAATGACGGGTCTCGAATTGGATTTTAGCCTGGCAGGTAACTAAGTATTAGATGGGCCATGTAAGCACAACGTGTCGCTATTTTTATGGTTTTGTATTTTTCTTTTTTCTTTTGTTTCAACCAGCCATTGCCGGGCGGAATGCTGCCAGGGTGGCACGGCACTTGTCATGAGCCTTGTGGGCAATTAATTGTTCATTCAGCCCACATACCGAAACCTTCTTTTGGTACCTCTGCTGTGTTGTCTACGAGAATAATTTGTTGACGTACTCTTATTCCCAAGGCACTTATAGTCCGGAATAAGCTTCTTGTTGGTCACGAAGTCAATTCCCCTGGTGTCATTTACTACAAGATCTCTCTCTCTCTCTTGCACTCAATACATCACGTGGAGATAAGATGCCGATCAGGGGATAACGGATCCCGATTCATGGTATTATTATCCAGATCCAGTGTTTGTATGTATTCACATGATAAAGTCTATCTGAAAAATTAAGATTATAGTCTATGAAATATTAGGCGTCTCTTCAAACAACTCATCATCATCGCGCTCCTGTCCGTAAAGAACTTCGCAGACTCCACCGACTGGCACATCCAGCACAGCATCC